TAACTACATACCTCCATTATTTATATTTCCCAGGAAGAGGATGAGCCCACAGCTTCAGAAAAATGGACCAAGCGGTGCGATTTACAACTGCACGGATAATGGATGGAGTAATACGTCTATGTTTTTATTATGGCTGAAGCATTTCCAAAAAAAAGTCCTGTCTAGTCCAGATAATCCCGTGCTGTTAGTATTAGATAATCACTCGAGCCATATTTCACTGGATATTTATAATTACTGCAAAGAGAATGGGATTATAATGGTTAGTATTCCACCCCACACATCCCACAAATTACAACCTCTTGATGTGTCATTTTTTTCTGCATTAAAATATGCGTATGGTCGCCATTGCAATTCCTTTCTAAAATCTAAGATCAGCAACTCAGAGTTTGAAGATAAAATTACTCCATATGATGTCGCCGAGATTTTTAAGTTAGCATATGATCAGGTGGCAAATATTGATAAGGCCGTTTCTGGTTTCGGAACGTGCGGAATTTTTCCGTTAAACTCTGATAAGTTCACAGAAGATGACTTTTTTCCTGCTGATAATTTAAACAATGATAGCTTGGATAGAGATGTTTCTCCTGAACCTGCACCTCAGGGAACACCTCCACTAATAACAACACCATCTATAAGAGAACCAGAATTACCACGTCCATCAACCAGCCGACAGTCTCCTGAAAGTCGTCACACAACCCCCACAAAACAAAATGAAATAACCAAACGTCCACATATTTCTCTTTCACTTATTTCTCCAGTTCCTTTGCCCAATAAAAAAATTAAAAGAAAATATGGACGACAAAAGCAACATTCTGAAATTCTAACAAGCACCCCTTTAAAAGAATTCTTAGAAGAAAAAGAGAATAAAAAAAAAGAAAAACTGGCGAAGTCGGAAGAAGGAAAGAAAAAAGTAACCAGACAAGTATTGGTTAATGATGCAGGATTAAAACTAAATAAAAATAAAGGGAAAGCCAAAGTACAAAAAATAATCAAACAAAAAATAAACAAAAAAATCTTGGAGGATAGCGATACTGAAGAAAGCGATTTTGATGAAGAAGGTCTTTGCAATGACGATGAGTTGGATGACATAATCAACGAGGGAGGTGAAACTGATATCTGCATATTATGTGGAGACTTCGGCAAAAAGACGGAAACATGGTTCAGATGCACAAGTTGTGGACAATGGGTGCATAAAGAATGCAGTGGAGCCAAAAGTCCCGAAAACTACATTTGTGACTTTTGTTAATATGTTAAAAAAGCTTTGTTTACATTTTCTTACTTTCAGTATTAAAAAATAAATTTTCTTTTCATATCACTTGCGCTTTTAATATAGATACCTACATGCGCCATCTTCACCATCACTGTGCGTCATCTTTCCCTCGGTGGAAGGTAAGATGGCGCAAAAGCGTTTTTTAAGAAAGCCGCATAAAAAATACTTCCTTTTATTGAATTTAAAAATAATCCTAGAAATTGGTTATAGAAATGTCCAAATTACAGGCTCGTAGCATTCAAAGTTAGCTTAAATATTTTTTACCCTTAAATAAAATGTATTTTGCTTAGGTGCGTCATCTTCAACGTCCTTCCTCTATAACCTAGCGAGAGATCAAAATAAGGACAATTTTGAAGATGAATTGCTAAATGAAGACATTATTGAACTTTTTAAAGTTGAAGATGTTTCAGCTAACCTTAACTATATACTATTTAAGTGTTATGGAGAAACCACAGAAGAATCATTAATAAACATGTATTCTTTTCTTATTCGTTATTAAAGTTCTGCCACCACAAACTGTATAATCAAGAGATATTAATCACCACATTAGTGTGATTTCTTTGACAATTAATTAAATATTGGTCTGTTCCGAAATAAATGTTACGTTTATCTTACAGATAAGTAACCTCAACATTAATTTATCGTGAAAAGACGGTTACATTTTATTCTATAAATAGTCTATACTCCATATAAGTATTTGTCAGATAGGATAATATTAATCTGAAGATGTAAAGACCGGCCTTTTTTAACAAGAAGTTTATTAGTGTACAAATTTAATTTATAATTCTTTTGAAAAGTTTCCCAACAAATAAATTGCCAAACTAAAATTACGCTTGTTTTATATGTACGTCGATTTCATAAGACGACTTTACGCAAAAGTTCAGTGATCATTTTGTTGTCATCCTAGCCTTAAACAGGGGACAGCAAGCTTTTTTTAATACAATTTAATGCATAACTCAAAGAATTGAAGATTTACATATGGACTGTAATTTAACTTGTATTTGGAGCGCTGGAATTGTTTCTACTTTTTGTTACTATCTGCTGGTGATTTAGCAGAGCCTTGTTCACAAAGGCACTTCTTGCCGCACTTAAAACCTGAATCTCATTTGCAAGACGTTTGGCAGCAGTATTTTTTCTTTTCTTGGCACGGATCGAACATTTTCAAAAATATTGCTTGAGAACCTTTAGTTGTAATTGATGGATTCGACCGTTACTTGATGGAAATTCATTTTATGTAACAATAAAACACTGAAAACTTTGTTTTCAAACTTCCACAAAATTTATTTTAACTATTATCACTACAGCTGTTTCGGCTGATAGCCTTTCTCAAGTGATCTATTTTTGGCATGCGTTTACAATTTATAGTCTCTAATGAAATAGGTTGAGGAGGGGAGAACTGTTTGTCTCAAGTTGGTCATTCAGAATTATATCTGTGTTTTTTAATTTATTGATTTGCATAGATTCTAACAAAGATAGCTTAAGGCCTTTATTTTGAACGTGAAGAATTTTAAATTTGTCATTAAAAGAATGACTATGATCTAGAAGGTGAAGTGCGTATGTCGAATCTGTTTTTCTATTCTTGAAAGCCCTTTTATGTTCTGCTATTCGTTTCTCAAAGTTTCTACCAGTTTGACCGATGTAAGTTTTTGGGCAGTCGCCACATTGAATTTTATACACACCACTATTTAAGTGTTTTTTATTTTGGCTCTTGTTATTTTTAATATATTTACCTAGGTTGTTATTTGTTCGGAAAGCTGGTGTTTTTTTATATGTTTGGCCATTTTTGTTGTTATTTTGTGTGTATATGTAATCGAGCGTAGGTACTGGGTTTTTCTCTGGTGGTGGAAATACTATTTTCAGGGCTTTCTTGTGTAGTTTTTGATTTAACATTTTATTAATTGTTTGTTCGTTGTATCCGTTGTTTACTGCTATTTGCTTAATTATATTTAATTCTGTCTCAAAGTTGTCTTTTGACATCGGAATTTCTGTTAATTTCTGTTAATTTCTGTTAAACCAGGACTACTTTGAATTTAATAATAAAATATATACAAATAACAGTGCAAGACTTATAATGGGTAATCCTCTAAGCCCATTGCTATCAGATATTTTTATGGATCATCTAGAGACAAAGATTTCAAAACATCCCGTATTCAAACAGTTTTTATATTGGTGGAGATACGTAGACGACGTACTGGTATGTTTCACAGGAACTAACAGGCAACTCGACCAATTTTCATCGTATATTAATTCACTTCATAATCATATTGAATTTACAATAGAAACAGAACAAAATCAATGCATAAATTTTTTAGATTTAAAAATTAGCAGACTTCAAAACAAACATGACTTCTCTATATTTCACAAACCTACCCATACTGACACGACTATACACAATTCATCATCCCATCCAACACAACATAAACTGGCAGCTTATCATAGTATGTTACATAGATTAACAGAAATTCCGATGTCAAAAGACAACTTTGAGACAGAATTAAATATAATTAAGCAAATAGCAGTAAACAACGGATACAACGAACAAACAATTAATAAAATGTTAAATCAAAAACTACACAAGAAAGCCCTGAAAATAGTATTTCCACCACCAGAGAAAAAACCCAGTACCTTCTGCTCGATTACATATACAGGCAAAATAACAACAAAAATTGCCAAACATATAAAAAAACACCAGCTTTCCGAACAAATAACAACCTAGGTAAATATATTAAAAATAACAAGAGCCAAAATAAAAAACACTTAAATAGTGGTGTGTATAAAATTCAATGTGGCGACTGCCCAAAAACTTACATCGGTCAAACTGGTAGAAACTTTGAGAAACGAATAGCAGAACATAAAAGGGCTTTCAAGAATAGAAAAACAGATTCGACATACGCACTTCACCTTCTAGATCATAATCATTCTTTTAATGACAAATTTAAAATTTTTCACGTTCAAAATAAAGGCCTTAAGCTATCTTTGTTAGAATCTATGGAAATCAATAAATTAAAAAACACAGATATAATTCTGAATGACCAACTTGAGACAAACAGTTCTCCCCTCCTCAACCTATTTCATTAGAGACTATAAATTGTAAACGCATGCCAAAAATAGATCACTTGAGAAAGGCTATCAGCCGAAGCAGCTGTAGTGATAATAGTTAAAATAAATTTTGTGGAAGTTTGAAAACAAAGTTTTCAGTGTTTTATTGTTACCTTTAGTTGTCACTAATTCACTGTCTTGTTTTCGTTTAGTGGACCACTTCCTACTTCTAGGTTAAAGTACTTCTCGCCGCTACCATTGATCCAAGTTTGTGGGGTGAAACGTCTGCGCTCAGCTTAAATGTGAGGAATAGAATGCCAATGTAGGTACATATAAACTGAAATTTGATATTAATCAAAACAATTTTGATAAATATCGTATTTATTCGTCGATTCTTATATACTAGTTTCCATCTTTTTATATCTCGCTAGTCATCATCCTGTAGATGCTTTTCGGTCATGCCTTGTCTGATGCTCTCCTGCCATGTCTTTTTCGGGCGTCCTCTTCAGTCTTCTTCTTTGTACTGGTCTCCACTCCATCTTTTCTTTGCCCACCTGTCTTCATTCGTACGGCTTACATGACTGTTATTTTTTTGGTTAGATTATCTTATATTGAAATAATTTCCTTTCCGTATTCACATTTTTAATTAATCAATTATTGTTTCTTTATTTCAACGTACTCATTAAGTAAAATTAAAGTTTCAAGGTTCTTTTATTGATCATTTTATATCAAGATTCTTTAACTAAATAATACATACCTTCCTAAACATGTATATACATACTAATCTACGCTAATTATTACTATTTTCACGTGATAATTACTTGATCTGAACATAATTATACGTTCTAATAGATGTATCACACCAGTCTACAATAAAATTACATGATATTTATTCGAATATAAAAATATACTAAAAAGTAGTTTATATATAAAATAACTTACTGTTAAAAAACAACAATTTGCATTGAATAATCCCATGGAACAGGAATTTAAATCTCCAATATAACAAATAAGAATTGGTACTTCGCCTTAGAATACTAAACATACCACAAAGGTATTCTAACTCGTTTTATGGAGCATGCATCTAGAGTAGAACCGTCCGGATAAAATATTGACTCCTTTACTGCTAAATGTTTTCAATATTACTTATATACGATGCAAATACATGGAAACGTAAGGAAACAAACAGTTAGCAAATACATAAAGGTTTTCAAAATTCCGCATTTTAACAATGCTCAAATACTAAAAGAACCGGATAATTTAAAAGTCATAAAAACCAGGAAACATGTATATTTTAGATACGCTGTTTAAGAAACAGTCTTATCCAACTGATAATACAAGCAATAATCGAGGAAATGATAGAGAAAAACCTAGCTTAAGAACAGGTAAAAAACGCATAATCAAGAAGAACAAGAGAAGACTTCAAATCAACTGTGAACATAATTATCTGGAGCAATGGTCTAGCCATTAATAAAGTATGTATGATCATTTCGATATACGTAAGAAGTCCTAAAATGTACAGCTGGTTCCTACAAAAAATGATACGACTCTTAAAGCGTATTTTATAGAAAATTGAGTGGCGTATTTTGAAGAATAAATACTTATTATTTACATAGGGGAAGTGTACCTATGTTGGACCCCCTGCTGTAATTTCAAATATGGCGCGGTTACATGCACATCGCCGGTTGCCGCTTGCGCACGAAGTTTGTATTTTAGTATTTGCAAAGTTTCAGACCCGTAGCGGTTATAACAGTAAATTTGTGATATAAAATTAAAATTTGCCGTTGCTGATCTAATAAAATTGTTTGGTAAGTAATATTTTACTGGTAACATACGTTAAGCTAAGTGTTGCTTTTGTTTTGTATAAAATGACTACACTTTCTTTGTCAAATACTATACTTTATTTTAGGTTAGAATTGTCAAAACAAAAGTAACAAAATTAAATTTACTGTTTGTCTTTTTACCTATGATGGACCCCTTTGTCGTTGCCTATGACGGATTAGGGGTCCATCATAGGAAAAAGGAAATAAGTTGCTACTTAACGAATAACATAATACATTTTACAGGGGTAGATCCTCATAAAAGACAACAGTGGAATGAGAGTAATAGGCAGCAAGCTTTAAAAAAGCATACAAGAAAAACCTATGGGGTTTAAAATAGCAGCAAAAACATTTAACGTTCCAAAAACCACTTTGACAAGGCGCTTTAATAAACAGCAAGTAAGTGCCAAAGGTGATTTGGGAGAACGAAGACCAATATTTTCCATTGCTATTGAAAAGGAAATTGCTGACCATATTATCACCATGAAAGCTCGTTTTTTTGGCATGACCAGTAAAGATTTATGAAAGCTTGTATACGAAGTAGCTGAAAGAAACAATATTAGCCCAGTTTTAATAAGGAAACCAAGATGGCAGGCTGGAAATGGGTCAGAGGCTTTTTAAAGCGAAATCCTGGAATATTATTACTACCTCCAGAAAACACTTTGTTGGCAAGGGCTCAAGCTTTTAATAAACCAAATATATGTGCCTACTTTACAGCATTAGCACATATATTAGACGAGTTTCAATTTCCAACGGAAAACATTTATGATAAACATGGACGAGTCCGGTTTGACAACTGTTCAAAAGAGATCGCAGAAGATTTATGCTAGTAAAGGTCGCAAACAAGTTGGTGCCTTAAGTAGTGCAGAGCGCGGTCTACATGTTACGGTCGTATGTGCAATGAATGCAATTGGAACATCCAAAATGTTCCTTCTGCTTTGATTTTTCCTCGACAGAGAAAGAAAGACGAACTTATAGTCGATGCACCTACTGGAAGTGTAGCCTTCGCTCAAGAAAAAGGATGGATGACTTCCGACATGTTCTGTCTCTGGCTGCAACATTTTTTAAGGTACTCAAAGGCGTGTAAAACCAACCAGTTTTGTTGTTACTTCAACAAGCTCTCCAGTTTGCAAAAGCAAACGGTACTATTAGGTTTTGTTTTCCTGCTCACTGCTCTCATCACGTTCAACCCTTGGACGTAGGATCTTTTAGTCCACTTATTAGTTACTACGGAAAAGAAATTCAATTATGACTGCGACAGAATCTAAGAATTTCAGACCTTTCAGATCTTCCAAATAATGTCAGACCAATCATATACACTGCTCAAAATGATCAAATCTTACTAAGAGTCGTAACAGTTTTTTTTAGGAACCAGCTGTACAATATAAAAGCAATATTGTTATTATAGTAGGAATAAAAAATTGGTTTTCAGTTCTCAAACTTTCAGATTTACATTAACAGCTCCTACTATTGAGGAGCTCCTATTTCTCACTACCTGGGTCATTAATAAATACTTACTTAAACTCTAAGAGAACAATCAAATAAATAATTTACATTTATCCTTAAAAAAACTATTGCAGCTGCTTTGACTTTTAGTATTTTACATTTGGTTATATTCATTCCCAGAAATTAGTTGTAAACATCTACCTACTGGCTAATAACAATAATAGAGCTCCTATTGTAATGTACATCATATTTAAAGATACAGCACCAGTACCAGCAGCTAAATTGACGCCCCTGCTGTTACCAGTTATGTTCATCATAATAGTATGGTTGTATTTTATTTTAGAGTCACACGCAGTTCCTGCTATAGCTTCTTTAACAGACGATTTTAATATGCGGAAGTTATATTCCTTGTACTCCAAAAACGTATACAAGAAAACAGGTAGTTTGTTGGACAAAACCCACAGAGTATCATTTTGGTCAACTTTAATATCCTCCGGGGACACCATAAGCTCATTGCTCATAAAGATCCTTCCCTGCGATTGTATGGTATAATTCTGAAGAGAAGTTCTCCAACACGCCACGGCATTAAGATTCACTAAAGAATAAAACAAAACACCCGTTTTTTTGTGCAAAAATGAAACGCCGCTTTGAGCTTTTGGTCCCCGAGAACCGAGTAATTTAAACTCGGAAAACACTGCTGATGCATTCTGAAGGGCAGTCTCGTTCCTCAAAACTTTCGTGCTAACAGTAAATTCGTTGAAGCTCGTCTTAGGATGGAAGTACAAGGTACTGAAACCTTCCTCGTTTTTCTCGGAAAGGGCCAGTCCATAAAGTCCATCAGTTCCAATGTAACTGACCTGCAAAAATAAATAATTATTAATTAATTATTGCTAAACAAAAAAATATTATACTATAAAATAAGTAATATTAATAAAGTTATGTCCTAATCAATAGCCTTAATAAATTACTAGAACTAAAACATAACTGGCAGGCAATTGGACATTCGCAATTGTGTAGTGAGGTGTGAAAACGAAATAGGCAACCTACAGCACACAGTTTTAACTTCTCTTAATTCCTACTTGTGAGCATCTCTAGATTGTTTTAGTATACTGTTTCTTTAATCTGATGGAATACAGACGTCAGTAATTTAATAACAGTTGTATTCCAAAAGTTTTAAAATACGTAAAAGAGATTATTGTCTTAGAGGATAGTTGCCTAATATCGGATACTGCGTTATCTTAAAACCTATTAACAGTTTTCTGTAATTAAATGTACAAAACTAAAGGTTTTTATATAAAATTTACAGCCTGCGTAAACCATATAGTTCCATTGTATACTACTAGATGGAACCATTTAATTATATGTTTTTCGTGATACGAGTTTATTGTTTATCCAACTAAAAACTGTTATAAAAAGGTAATAGTAAACTGACAGTATTAAAGTGAAATTTGGCAGGTATATTCGTAAATAGTTATAGAATAAACTTCAATATTTAAATTGAACATATCTGTAAGTATTTTTTTATTTTAATCACATAACCTTGAACATAAAAGGGATAGGAAAGGTATCTTAAAATTGGATATCCAAAATTAGGAACCGAATTATATGTAATTTAAAACATCTAACAAATGGGCGACTTAAAGGCGTTAAAGTGCTTCAATGTTCCCAAATCAACCATCGAACTATATCTCAAACGTGGCAAAGACTCAAAAGAACAATGTGCGCTACGAATGGGCCGAAAACTAGTTTTATCAGCATAAATGGAAGAAGACTTGGTACTGTACTATTTGGAAATGGGCAGAAGAAATTATGGTCTAGTACTTGCAGACGTTCGGAGATTAGCATACCAGCTTTGCTAACAGAAATAACCTTTCCCGTCCCTTTTCAGAACGAGATGGTAATGCCGGTAAAAAGTGTCTCCGAAAATTTCTCAGACGGCAATAAAAGGTTTTACCCTAGAAAATATTAACCGTTTTTGATATTCTGGAACCAGTTATGGAGAAGATATATTTCAACCCCCTAAGAGTGTATAATGTTAATGAAACAGGTATCACTACCGTATAATCCAAGATTGCTGGCGTCATCACCCTAAAAGGAAAAAAACAAGTAGGAGCCGTAACTGCTGCAGAAAGAGGAGCACTAGTAACTAGAAGTGAAGCAGATTTTAAATTTAAAATAAAATACAGGGTGTTTCATTTAAAAAAAACATAAGTTTGGTCTGCCACAATCTTAGAACACCCTGTAAGTTTATAACTAATTTAAAAATGTGGAGTTTAAAGCTGTCTACAATTTTTGACAATAATTTTGTTTTGTAATTTTTACTATAACAGATCTACTGGGTTTCCTCATACTAATCAATCACCCAAAAGAGTTATCAGAAAAATTTTTTACCAAGTAACCAAAAACAAAATTTGATTAATTTATTAATGTTCTGCATTCTGGGAAAGATTTCCGAAGTAGAAATCGAAACATCAAAAATAAACTTATTATAAACTAAAATTGTGGCTTAGTCACCAAAATATAGGAAATGACAAATACTTCTATTTTACATTCAAACTTAACTTAAATACTACTAAAAAAATTTAAAAAAAATGTTTTTAAACGAATTAGGTGGTTTATTTGACAATTTATTTATTGAAATAATGCATATTCGTAATGTACGCAAACAGTACATACAAGTTTAAAAAGAAACGTTGACATACATAAAAAAGGAACAGAGATACAGTTAACAGCGCCTTCCCCCTTCCTTCAGCTCCCGAGAGTTTCAAAGCCGACCGATTTTACATACATTTTGAAGCTTTGTGGAGGATTCCGTTAAAGGGCAATAATTTTAAAATTTCGTACTTTAAAACTATAATGTATATTCTTTTAAATAGCGCTAATTAGATTTCTTAATTGTTATAAACAAAGGTGCTATGAATTAAATAAAAAAAGATTCTAACTTTGTACCAAAATATTTTAGGACAAACTTTTTTTATTTAAATTTGTGAAAAAATTCAAGCTTTTTAAATATGTAAAAATAATACAGTCAATGGTTAAAAAGTTATTCTAATTGTTTATAAGCAAAAAATTGACATGTTTTTGCAAAATTATTTTGCAATATTTAAAATTAATTTTCTTATTTTTTTTTAATGTAAATAATAAAATAAGTCTTCTTCTACCAGAAACAACCCGTACAATTTCTAAAACTATAAATTTCTGACTTATATTGTTGCAAAAAATGTTAATTTGGGATAAACAAATAAAATAACTTTTAAACTATTGGACCGATCACTTTGAAATTTTAACCCTAATTTAAGCACTACAAGACACATCATTCCATGAAATATAAATATTATAAGTTTATTTTCAAAAAAGTTATTAACATTTATAAAAAACCGAAATTTTTGACTTATCTTCCAACTTTCTAAACAACAAATAAGGATAGAAACATTTTGAGAACGCCATTTTGAAGGTTTTTATATAACTTATAAGTTTCCTCTCTTCTAAAATTTGTTTAAATTGCTTCACTTTTTGCTGATAGACGAAAAAAGCAAAAATTTTCCGTTTTTTGAACTTAATTTGTTAATAACTAATTTAGTCCAAAAAATCGACTGCAGGAAACATATAGGTTTTTTTTACAGAGGTCCATTCTACTCAAAATAACTGTCGTTTGCCTGGCCGGACGAGTGTCAAAAACAGGGTACTTTTTTTGCTTATTTCCCTGGCCTATAAACATGAACATCAGTAAGACCAAATTTATGACAAATAGTAGGTAATACTGTGAGCAAAAAACATAAGTTACTCGTGTTTAACATCGAAGTAAAAAGCGAAAATAAAAGAAAATATCTTAGAAGAAGACTACAAAATATCAAGTGGTGGGTGTTCAAATATTAGAAAAATAGTTATTTAGGTTAAAAATATACTGGAACATTAAAAGAAGTCCTAATATAGTTTGGGTAAATAAGGCTAGTGTTATAAGAGATACTGGTCTTAACGAGACCTTGTGGTGGTGACCCATAGTTGAAAAAAATGAAAAAGAAAACTATATAAACAGTGACAAGAAAATAAATCATATAAGTGTTTAATATTATTTATATATGTAATATGTTTTGGCTTTAAAAGTACTTACTCCAGATACATTCATGTTTCCTGCAGTGGGATCTATATGGAAATAATGATGGGTAACCATCCATGATTTATTTTGCTTAAAATCATACACCACCAAAGAAGGTTTTCCCAAATCGGCCAAGTAAGCAATACTATTATCGCAGCCGTCTTCTTCGATGACAATATTCGAAAAGAAGCTGTCTTCTTTGTTAAATTGCTCTTCTGGTATTTGGTAAACCCGCAGTAGTTTGTCCGTTTTCAAATCATAGATAACAATTCTTGGAAGGACTATCTGTTTAGGATTGTCGGTATTAAGATCTGAGAATCCAGTGTCCAATACCCACAGTTGGCCGCAGCTGTCCACTTTCGTTCTGAAGGCTGACACTAGCTCTGGTACTTCTTTCCTTTGGTTGTGGGCTTCCCAATTGGGGTAAGGACGAAGGATCGGGGAGTCTAAGCGATCTGTAAATCAATAAACAAATGATTAATTTTTTAGGAACTTTACTCAAAAATGATATGGCTAAAGTTAGTATTAGCCATATAGTTCTGGATAGAAATAGACAGAACATGGAATTAAAAAGTGGTACGACCAAGAGCATATACTAGATAGAGAGGAAATTCTACCTGTGATAATTAATATAAAGAGATAATAGAACTGATAAACAAAAACATAGACATTTGTGTAATCCAAGGAACCAAGAAGAACGGTAAAGGCCAAAGAGACTATAAGAGCATGATCAGGCGTAGGTATACTCGTCCATAAAAAAATATAAAGACAGCATAAATAGCTGCCGTTATATCTCTGACAGAATAATACTTATGAACATCATAATGAACTTCTTCTTCTTCGTCTAACCATTCACGTCCACATCTGAACATAAGCCTCTTCAAGTCTTCCTTTCCATTGTTTTTTATTGTACGCTACTTGTAGCCAATTTTTCCCGACAGTCCTTTTCAGATCATCTGTCCATCTCATAGGAGGTCTGCCCCTGGGTCTTTTGTGTTGGTATGGTCTCCAGGTTAAAATTGATCTGTACCATTGGTTTAGATCGCTCCTAGCTACATGTCCAGCGTATTCCCATATCAACTTTAATGATTTTTGCACCACATCGGTGACTTTGGTTTTCTGTCTTATCCTTGTGTTTGTTTTCTTGTCCTTAAGTGATATACCTAGCATTGCTCTTTCCATCGCGTGTTGAGTGACTCTAAGTATATTCATATTCTGTTTTGTGATTGTCCATGTTTGTGCCGCATAAGTTAATATCGGAATAATGCATGTATCAAAAACTTTAGATCTAAGATGTAATTGAATTTGTTGAATGAATGAACATGAAAATAAACAATGAATGAACAATGAACTACCAAAAATTAAATGTCATATACATCTATAGCCTCGAGGACTGCTAACCTAAGGAAGAACAAGAGTCATTCCACGAACAATTGCAAACCATCCTGAATGAAATACTACATGGAGAAACCTTAAATTATTATTATCTATCATGCCTATCTATCTATATCTATCATGCCATCCTCAATGCGATTTCGTTTATTAATTGCGTTTTTGACTAAATGTAGGTGTTTGATTACCACCTTTATTGGCCTGTTTTTGCCATCAGATGTCTGCCCCACTCGTAATATCTTCACCATATCGTTCTAAGCAAGTCTATTGTTGTTAAAAATGGAAGTAAAAATGTGAGCTGAAAACAGTGCGCTGTTATCAGCATTTATTCTTTTTCACATTAGTTGTACCACCAACGCACTGCTGCTATTGTTGCTTAACTGCGTCTAGCTCTTCCTTTAAAGACTTGATTTTCTCCTCTAGCTGAATAGATTTGTTAGTTAAACAGGTAGTTTTTTGAAAAGCACACAGTCTCCGCAGAAAAACAAAATCGTCCGTTTTTGAACGACAATGGCTCTCTGCTCACTTGCACAAAGACCTAAGCATTTCTCCTCCAAATGGAAAACCATACGGCAGCTGTAATATCTAGGAGCTTTCTCCATTTGTTCGTCATTGAAGGGTTTTGAGCATTTATTAGATTTCATTTTAATAAAATAACCTCAAAAATGTTGATTCAGAAAAATGAAGTCCCAGCAATAATATACATAAAACGAACAACTTTTACCCAAAGATCTTTATCAATCCTCACTAGTATGAAAATAGTTATTTTTAATTACTTATATAAGTTTAATTAGAGAAATTAATCCCAAGCATAAAAAACACATGTGATCAACTTTGAGGTTATATTTATATGATTTATATTTTATTCTATTACATCGGATTTATACTGTACCGGCTGTAGGGGAACCTGGCCCAAAATGACATACTAGGGTAAAATGACACATCTGGTGTATCTCTAACTTGGCAACATGGCTATGCGCTAAGAAGTTTTATACAAGAGCATCACGTTCCAAGGTTCCAACGGGCGTCGCGATCAGTTCAGTCACGTTCAGTCGTTTACTTGTTAAAAGGTGGTTTGTGCTTTATTGAGTACCAAAATATTTTGGTAGGGGACGTATACTTCGCTATAAAACGTTTAAAACTTTAAAATTTTATATCTCTGTTAGTTCCAGGTATGTATTGTTATTCTTATTAACAGAAACATCATGTTTGGAAGCTTTGTTTGTTTAAACAAAAAATTTATTGTAAAAAACGTGTTCCTGTTCACACGTGTGTAAAACGACATATTAAATACTCGGGTAAAATGACATAGTATGTCATTTTGCCCATATAAATTTTAACAATAATATGGTAGGTAGAATATTAATGTATGGTATTTTTCTTTTTTAGTATGGTGGGACACTACGAAAGGAAAAGTACACGCTAGTCTTGGGATCCAGTACAAATGCAAAGAGCCATCCAGGCAGTCCAGTGTGGAGACATGGGTTGGTTAAAAGCATCGATAACTTTTAATGTGCCCCAAGCTACTTTAAGAAGACGAGCATCAGACAAGAATAAACGGGTATCAGGTACTAATAAAGGTCTTGGCCGGTAAGAAACTACGTTCCCTGTAGAATGAGAAAGAGACCTCGTAACACACATAAAACACCTAGAATCACGTTTGTTTGGATTATCTTGTGATGACGTTCGTTCTTTAGCCTACCAGTTAGCAGATCGAAATGGAATAGTACACCGATTTAACACAACCACTAAGATGGCTGGTTGGGATTGGTTTCGAGGATTTCGGTCTAGACACCCCGATATATCCCTTAGAAAACCCGAGTCCACGTCTGCAGCAAGAGCGCAATCATTCAACAGGCCGCAAATTGCCAATTTTTTTAAACTTTTAGAGGATACTATTACAAATAACAAAATTAATCCTACACGCATATGGAATGTGGATGAATCAGGCCTATCCACGGTTCAAAAACTCGGCAAAATATTTGCAACCAAGGGTCGGAAGCAAGTGGGCCTAATTACAAGTGCGGAAAGAGGGCAGCACATAACGATGGTTGCTTGCATTAGCTCAGTGGGGAATTATGTTCCACCAACACTTATATTCCCCAGGAAAAATTGAAAAAAAGAATTAATAGATGAAGCGCCTTTAGGAACTTTAGGAATAGCACAGGAAACAGGATGGATGACAGGCGAAGTGTTCCTAACATGGATGAAACATTTTAAAGAATATTCTAATCCTTCTATAGAAGACAAGGTTATGCTGTTGCTTGATGGGCATGCGAGCCATAAAAACATTAATGTTTTAACTTTTGCCAAAGAACATGGAATAGTGATATTGTGTTTTCCGCCGCACTGTACCCATCGTCTACAGCCGTTAGATGTATGTTTCTTTGGTCCATTAAAGAGCTACTATGTACAAGAAGTTACCAAGTGGATGAAGTGTCATCCAGGCAGAACAGTTTCGCAATACCAAGTTGGAGAATTATTTGCTACAGCGTATGGAAAAGCAGCTACACACCAAAATGCAGTTAGTGGATTTTTAAAGACTGGAATTTGGCCCCTTAATCCCGACATATTCCCTGATTATTTATTTAATCCTTCCAAAATAACAGATATTCAAGAAGAAGTTGCAATTCAACCCCTAACAGAGTCAAAAGAAGAGAATGATAATGTTTTGCGACATCAAGATTTTTCAGATCAAGGAAACAAATCGGTTTCTACACCTAGACCAACCTTACTTGAAAGTTGTTCTTCAATTAATCCTGGTATTCGTCCACTTGACATTTCACCTCTTCCATCGTGTTCAGGTGTCCAGTCACGCTCCAAAAAAAGAAAATCAGAAGGAACAAAAGTTCTAACGGCTACCCCAAATATGAAAAAACAAAAGGCCAAAGCACTCGAGAAGCGAGCTACAGAAAAACGTCAAGCTGCAAAGCGAGCAATTAAGAATCTGACTTTAATGACACAAGATTGCGAGGAGGAAACAAAGACCATTGTGTCAGATGGTGACGAAGACGAAAATAATCCTCCATGTTTATATTGTAACAGTTTGTACTCCCATTCAAGGTCCAAAGAATTCTGGATTAGGTGCCAAAAATGCTTAAAATGGGCACACTGTGATTGTGCTGGTATCTCAAAATCGTGCAAAAAATTTATTTGTGAACTTTGCTAATTTAGTTTATATGACATTTTATCCATGTGAGTGTGTCGTTTTAGCCGAATATACTCGGATAAAATGACATAGCAACGTTTATTTTGTTTCCTTTTTTAATTAAAAAATATTGTGTTGTTAGAGTTTTATGTTCCATGATCTGTTCTACTTCCAAACAATGAACAATATTTATGTTTTTTTTTATTTTTATTAAAAAAATAAAAAAGTTATTGGACGACAAAAAAGTAGTATGTCATTTTAGGCCAGGTTCCCCTAGCTATATATCTGGTTAAACAAAAAAAATATTAAGCAAGTTATAAATTCTCATAACGTGTTACCTGTTGTTTTAATATAAGCTAAAGAAGCTCCAACTCCCTCCTTCCATCTCGGCAAGGTGATGAATATCCTGTCCCCATATACTTCTAATCCCAAAGGCACATTATTTTCTGGTATAAATTGTCTGTTGACGATGCCTCCCACCTGGCGTTTGATGTGGGATATTCGAAATCAATAATTTTCCATTGAAATGCTACTTTTAAACTATCTTCAGTGGCTATCACAGTGTGTACCAAGTAAATCAAAGGAAGTAGTATAGACACCATAATTGCAAGAACTAAAACAAAACAAAAACAGTTAATTTTCCAAAAAATGTTGTTTATATTTAAGTAACAAGAATCTTGTGAAGTTAATACCCGATACAAAAGGAAGTATAACTATATCTAAGCAAATAAATATCTATGTATTAATAATCAAAATATTTGTCGGATCTTTATATCGGTTTTTCTAATTTATAAACGTTCTTTTATTTTGGATCATCCAATATACTTTCTTCATAAAGCAGATATGTTCGTCTAAATTCTGTAAAATAATTAGATAGGGTAATAAATCTTCTTCTTCTTCTTCTTCCTTCTTGTATGTAGGCTTTAGAGCCTGTTTGTTCTTCAATATTAGCCTTCTAAATTGTTTAAATTATCGCACTATCTTTTTCTTAGTCTGCCAATACTTCTTCCTCCATTTGGTGGCTCATCTCGTGCTATTCGTACTATCCTATCCTCTGTCATTCTACTAATGTGTTCGTTCTACTCCTGTTTCCGTTTTGTTACCCATCCATTATGTCTTCTATGTTGCATGCTCTTTTTATGTTTTCGCTTTTCTCCGTATCCAAGAAACTGTTCCCTGATATTCGTCAAGTATTTTCATCTCCGTTGTTTCTAGTAATCGTCTCGTTTTAGATGTGTCACGTCTTGTCTCCTCCGTGTATGTTATTAAAGGTCTAATTGCTGGTTTATAGATTCTTGTTTTTGTGTCTTGTCTTAGGTGTTTGTTCTTTCAGATTGTGTCACTAAGAGATCAACAGGTTTACACATAAGTGTAAACCTGTTAGACTGACCATCTTAGATATAAATAAATACCTATTAATTTGCATCTAATGTCCCTAGTTCACATGTCTGATTGTCATAGTTATCGGTCCCATTATCCAGGCTATCCGCAAATAAAAAAAAACGTAATGAGTGAAAAGATTCGAATTTATCAGGAAATGTAATACATTTCAACGACAATACGAGTTTAGATCAAAATGATGTGGATCGAGATCATTTTCATACATTACGGCCCTTTGTCGATTATTTGAATAACAAATTCCAAAACAAAAGCTTTCAGTAGATAAGCAGATGTACACCTCAAAAGGAAGGTACTATATGAAACAGTACATGCCTGCTAATCCCCACAAGTGGGTGTACAACTTTTCGTTTTATACGGTGTTAGCATGATACTAAGACTTCCAAGATAAACCCACTTCGCAATCGAATTTTGTACATCGACGCGCATGACGTCAATTGGTGATAAAAGTCACTTTTATCACCAACCTTTTATCATCACAGTCGGTAAAACATATATGGAAAGAAAGAAGTTTTTATTTAAATATTTAGAATATTAAGGGATGTTAGGTAAAATATCTGCAATTAAATCTTAAAAATATGTTATATATACATCTCTGTTAGCCTAGCAATGTAAGCTAAAATTATATAAAAAAGTAAGAACTAAACATCCTTTTGCAAATGGAAATTTATATACAATGGATTGAGTTATTAAAATAAAAATTTAATACAACTGATAAAGTAAAATACACTGTAATAATTTACAAGTTTATTTAACAATTTATTTTACAATTTTTAATATTTTCTTGTTCTTAACTTTGGATGTTTCTTTAATATATCTATTCAATTTTCTAATTTTAAAATATAATTTACACCTTTACTAACATTACATCTGAACACAGCTAAATCCATTAGCGATTTTAAATAATTCTTGGTTAATTTTAATGACCCTTTGTTACAATTGTTAAAAATATGGTCCAGTTCATTACATTTAATTAGAAAATCTGGATATGGTTTAAGTAAACCCCATTCGGAAAGATGGTTTACCCAGTAAACCGATGTCAACGTACAAGATAAACGATAAAACAAAACTAAATCTCAAGGTTAGTAGATATTTAAG